AGGAGACATTTCCGTCGATGACGAGGCGCCTACGTGACTTTGCAAATCTCAAGATGATATGCCGACTCAGTCTTTCGAAGGTGCTCATAGGGGTAAGGTGTGCGTGTGTGCATTTATAGGGGTGAGTGTATGCACGTGTATATGAGCGCTTGTGTTTGTACTGATGTTCAAAAAAAATGCTTTGCTCATTTTAATAATAATAGTCACGCCATTTATAAAAAAGTTCCATGTGTCTTACAAAAATGTGCACCGTGTATTAAAAAAAGTTTGACTAGCATTTGACAAATGTTCAACATGTATTTTTTTTAAAAAATCGACGTGTATCTGAAAATTGTTCAATTTGTATCTAAAATATATTCAATGTGTATTTGAAAACAGTACAAGTGTATTTTAAAAAATGAATAAAAACACAAAAACACAAGAAGGAAAATAACAAACATAAAAAGGAAAGTAATACTTATACAAAAATCACATAAAAAGTCGAGAAAAAAATTCATTTCGGACCTTCTAAAACCGATCTAATAAACCGGTTAATAGAAGTTTCCCAAAACCTCTCAAAGAAAAAAAAACAATGCACGTGGGCAAGCCCGCTAGCACTCGAACCAGAGGCGAGACGAGGTACTGTGCCGCAAAGAGCAAGATATAGCTCGCTAGTTCCACTCAAAAAAAAATAGCTCTCTTGACGAGACGTAGTCGAGTCTCCGCACAGATTCATTGCCTGATGGACCGGCCAAGTTAGCTTCCATTGCTACATGCGATTGCGGGTTAGGTGCCGGTTTTCACTGAATATTTTGCTTGTTTTTTATTTAACTTTGGTTTCTCTATTCTAATTTTTAATACATTTTTAATTTAATTTTTTTTCAAGAAAATGAAAATGTTCACATATTTTCAAAAATAAGAACTGTAAAAAAATCGCCACGTATTTAGAAAATGTTCATCTTTATTATGAAATATGTTTATGTGTATTGGAAATAATGTTCACGGTGCAGAAAAAGTTAATCATGTATTAGAAAAATGTTCACCGTGTTTTAAAAATTGGTCACCATGTAATGGAAAAAATCAACATATTTTTGGAAATGCTCAACTTGAATTCTTTTTCTAAAGCTATTCAAGAATTTAAAATATACATGAATTTTTTAAATTTAAAATTAACAAAGTGGGAGGAAAAGGAGAAAAGAGAACATGTATTTTACTAAGCACAGTGCTAACTTCCGACTGTTCGGAAGTTAAGCAACCTTCTCCAATCACTCTTTAATCATGCATGCAGTCACACACAGACAGATTTCCTTCACGCATGTAGACTATTTGGACAATAGCTGCATGCAGAAAATACAAAAAAGCTGATGTCAACAAAGATTTCATCTAAAAATAAAATTTAAAATGTTTTGTAGCTCAAACCGTCGGTCCGATTGAAAAACTATTTTCACATAAAAGATTCGTCGCGACGAGGCCTTCGAAACTAGATTCCATGATATGTTCCGACGACTTTACTTTTTAGGTAAAAAGTTACCACGCCTATGCAAACGTAAGTTATCAAGGTTGTAGTAAATAAATTATCATGTTGTCTACACAGAAAATTACTAGGAATGAAAATGGTTCCTTTAACCTTCTCTTCACATGCACATGTGTGCATGCATTAGAGCAACTCTAGTAGATCCCGCATCCTCCCGACCCGCAAAACGTTTTTGCAGTTTGCGGAAAAATGCCTTTGCGGCCCGGCACGGACGGCCGCAGTTGTAGACCCCGCATAATGGACCCGTAAAAAAAGATATTCCCAGAATATGCTTTTTACGGGTTGGGGTTGCGGCATCTGATCCCGCGTAGCTCCTCCCGGCCCGCAAAACTTAATTTTGCGACTTAATTTGATCTAGCATATTGCATTGCTTTGCTTTATTAACATTGGATACAAAAGGCATCACCAAATCTGGGGTGCTTTGGCGTGCTCGAAGTGAGCCGCAACACTTTCTTCGTGCAGTCGTCGCACTCTATGAGCGGCATCGGCAAGCCACAAAGACGTTGCGCGAGCGCCGAGCCCGGTGGACGGCCGGACGAGTCCATGCCCGCAAACCTTCGGCGACGGCGGGCGGACAAACTGGTACCTGCATGCGGCGATGCGCCCTTGCCTGGGCTGCGGGAGAGGCTCCCCGGCCACTCCATCGCTTGGGCAGCCACCGGCGGCCGGGAAAAGCCAAATCCGGCGGCCCGCGGTGAAGTGCCGCAGATCTACAAATCCGGCGGCCCGCCGACGCGGGGGCGGGGGGAGGTGGGGAGGCCTCGTGCGCGTGGCGGCCTTCCGGCGTGCTCCTGCCGGCCGCGGTCGTCGGAATCTTGGGCGGCAGCCGGCGGCGGCACGAGGGGGAGAGGAGAGGTGGTTGGTGGGAGAAATCGCAGGATGAAATGTCCCCCACCAACCGCTCCCGCTTATATGCAGGGCACCGTAGCCGCGAGGGGAAACCCGCGTTTTCCCGGGCTGGGCTCGGGATTTTGCCGCGCCCCCTATAATTTTTTGCGGGTCGGGGCGGGATGCGGGGTCTGATCGGGCTGGTTTTTCCGCCCCTACCCGCATTTTGACGGTTATTTTACGGGTCGGGGCGGAATGCGGGGTCTGCTAGAGTTGCTCTTAGAGGGAGATAAGAAATTTAATGTCATCCTAGATTCTTTCCTGTTTCAAAATTTCAAAATGTTTTATATCTCAGACCGTTGATCAGATCAAGAAATCGTTGTCACATAAAAAATACATCGCGGTGAGACCTATGAAACTAGATCATATTTGATATGTTCTGATGACTTTTTTCATGCAAGTAGTTATCATCCTGGGCTTAGTAAGTTATCAACCCTATATATTATCATGTTATTTACACATGAGTTATCGCGGTATGTTTTCAACAACTTTTTTTATCGAGATAAAGTTATGGCGGTGTTTGTGCGGGAGTTATCAAGCCCGCGCTTCATATATTACCACGTTATTTACACATAAGTTACCGAGGCTATGTTTTCAAACAACTTCACCCCCCGCACTCAAATGTTACAATAATGTTTATACGTGAGCTATCAAGTCTACGATGTGTATATCACCTTGCTATTTACACAGAAGTTATCGAGAGAGCGTATGGTTTCAAACAACTTCCTCACCTCCCCTCACCCCTGGGTCAAAGTTACCGCGATGTTTCTGCGTGCGTTATCATGTATACAGTGCGTATACTACCATGCTATTTACACGAAATTTATCGGCCTGGGCTAACTAAGTTATCAGCTCTTTTGTGTGTATATTACATGCTATTTACACACGATTTACCGATGGGTGTTTTTCAATAGCCCCACTCCCGGTCAAAAGTTATCACATGTGGACTAAGTAAGTTATCAACTCAGTTGTGCATATATTACCATGTTAGTTACGCATGAGTTACCGCGTCAAAATTATCAATCGTGTTGTATGTAAGTTAGGTATGCAATGCATAAATTACCATGTACTCGCACTAAAATTACCGGGGACATATTTCTTCAACTTTATTTTGCCGGGGTTAAAACTTATCAACGTGTTGCACATAAGTTATCAGGTTTGTGGTGTGTAAATTACCATGATATTCATCCAGGAGTTATCGGGAGTGTATTACAACAACTCCCTTCCCCGCCAAAGCTCTCGCATTGTTTCGTACGCAAGTTATCAGGTGTGTGGTGCGTAAATTACCATGTTCTTCACACATAAATCATTGGGGGTATGTTTTCAACAACCCCCTCCCCCACTCCCGCCAAAGTTATCACAATGGTTGTACGTAAGTTATCAGATGTGCGATGTGTAAAATATCATGCTAACTACACATTGACCCCATCGTATTAACATTGTCCGTCAGCACCATCGGGGCGTTTTGCGGCGACACCATCATAGCCATGCGAGTTGAATTATGTTCCACTCTAATAGCACTACATACATGGTTTTTTCTACAATGGTAATATAGAACCAAAAGACAAATATGAAAATTCCCTTTCGTTTACACAAGAACTAAATATAGAATAGACGGTTGTTGTGAAAATGTACTAATCCGACGAACAAGGATCAAATCCCATAAAGTACCCATGCAGTGGCTCAAGACCCATGCTTTAATCCCGTACAAAACGTGTGGCATGCATTTCTTTAGAACACATGCATGCTTATTAGTTGGCTAGCTAATCCAGCATTAATTGTTACGGAGTTTCGGGTGGGAGAAAAATTCGCGGCAGGATCGGAGTAGATGAGAGTGCGGGAGGTGCGGTTTCAAAGGAAAGCGCTACTTAATCTCTATTCTTAATGTCTCAATTGATAGTCAGTGTTTCGGGTTTTATTTTTACATTATCATTTTCGTCCAACCATTTTCATCCGATTTTTTTTCGCTGGTTTTTTTGGTCCCTTTCTCGCACCCCGAACTGCCCGACCCGCTAAAAAAAATCCCCTCGTCCGATCCCCAACCTTCCCCCGATCCCGTCGCCGCTGCTGCCTACCCCGCCTCCTACCGGTGCGCTACCACTCCCGCCTCCTTCCGGCGCGCCGTCATCCCCGCCTCCTACCGGCGCGCCGCCGGACCCTCCTTCTTCCCTGGAGCACCGCCACCCCGCTGCCCTCGCCATCTTCCCGAGCGCGCCGCTGCCGCCGTCTTTCCCAGAGCGCCACCGCCCCGCCACCCCCGCCCACGGGACCAGTGGTCCCATCGCCGGTCTCCCCCCACCCAGATCTGCCGGAGGCGCACCGGATCCTGCCTCACGGCCGGTTCCTGCGACTCGGCCGCCGCCCCAACCGCTGCAGCAGCCGAACACCTCCACTAGGTGCCCCGGCGGTTCGGACCCCCACCTGGCCCCTCCCTCGAACCCAGCGAGCCTCCGCCCCGACCTACTTCCCGCGCGAGGTCGCCTCCGCCTCCTCCTGGCGCACCGCCGCCCCCACCATCTCCACCTCCGCCTCCGCCGATGCCTCCTTCTCCACCTCCGTTCGCAAGCGATGGCGGCCGCGGTCTTCACCCCCAGCCACCATGGCTGCAGATCCACCCACGGCCGGTCGTCTAAGCTTCAAGCATGGATGGATGGATTCAGGAAGGTATCCTTCCTCCCTGGGTGGAGCGAGCTGCAGATCCCGTCCGGCCCTCCGGAACCGGCCATCTCCGCCTCCTCCTCGCCGCCGCCGCTGGGGATCACGTCTTCACCAAACGCGAGCTCCGCCCCATCCGACCGACCGCAAAGGGGTGAGTTTTCTTCATTCCGAACCCTCCTGATTTGCTTACTGCACTGTGAGAACTCAAACTTTTCTTCTTCAGAGATAGGACATGGCGGAAACAAAACTGCACGGCGATGTGCATTTCTGCAACACATCAGGTCTACATTTTCCATTGCCCTGGACTTATGAGTAAGTAGCATACAGAGTTCAGTCTGATTCTAAAGAACAAGAGTAGAAAATATATTCTGCCGAGTAGAAAATATCTTCAGGTCTACATTTTCCATTGCCCTGGACTTATGGCTATCTGATTGTAAAGAACAAGAGTAGAAAATATAGACATGCGTCTTCACGTGTGTGCATTAAATTTCTTTTGATTCTGTTAATATATTTCTGTTGCAGACGGAAGAAAAAGCAATATGAAGTTCCTGTCTGCATCAAACTGCTTTCACTTATATTCTGCCGAATTTCTTCCTTCTATGGGACTGTACATGGGGATTATCTACAAGGGTTATGTCCTTTGCAGGTAGATTATCTTATAGGACGGGCGAAATACAACAGAAGAAGCTCCTCCGCTGCTACTCGCCAAACTCCAAGCAAAAAGGACCTTCCACTTTCCTTGCTAATGGTGAGCAACTCAAAGATGTCTAAAAGGTTACGCTTAATATTTACCCTCCGTATCTTATTTACTTGACCATTACATGTATAGATGCTTTCAGAGAACATGTATATATAGCTGCAGATCTGTTATATCTGAACAATGGCAGATTTGACCATTACATGTATATACCTGCTAGGAGAGAACATGTATATCTATCAGTTGTTTTTCGATCATTAAGATATTACTTTCTCATCTTATTTCTAGGTATAAACACTGGTGTTGTTTTGTTTAATTTCGAAACATGCAGATTATCGTGTCTTCATCCCTGCGAAGTGACATTCTTTCCCAGTAATCTGTGCATGTGAAAATTATTTTCAAATGCGATTCTACTTGGTAGTTTTCATATTTCCAATGGCCCGTCAAGTGTGCATTTTCACGAGCTTCAGCAAACCCTTTTTCAGTCATCTGGTCCATGTACATACCAAGTGCTTGTTGAAATAAAAATGCAATTGGCCGCCAATTTTATCTTGCGTGTATCACTGGTTAATTTTTTATAGTTAGTTTTATGTCTATATATTGTCAATATATCGAAAGTTTGGTCCTCTGAGTAAGCACTCGGTTCCAAGCCTATGTCTTCTAGGCATAGCCGGTCCCAAGCCCGGGTAAAGGAGGAGGGTTGTGATAGGCTTGGCGAGCCAACGTAAAAACTAGCCAGTCCCATAGGTATGAAACCCATTTGAGCGAGAATAGTACTAGGATGGGTGACCTCCTAGGAAGTCCTCGTGAAAGGGTTTCATATCTAAGGGTTGTGATAGGCTTGGCGAGCCAACGTAAAAACTAGCCAGTCTTTTGGGTATGAAACCCATTTGGGTGAGAGTAGTACTAGGATGGGTGACCTCCTGGGAAGTCCTCGTGAAAGGGTTTCATATCTAGCCTACCCCAACTTGTTTGGGATAAAAGGCTTCGTAAGTAAGTAAGTATCGAAAGTTTGGTCCTCTGAGTAAGCACTCGGTTCCTTGTTAGGTCTGGCTAGATTGATATTTAAGGGATCATTTTTAGTCCCAGTTTTCCACCTTGCATTAAAAGAATGCCTTTGTATCAATTACATGCTCTTTGTCTAGACTAACACTCAGATGGCTGAAACTCAAAGTTTCAGTATCAATATAGTAAAATTCTCCCAAATAGATAAGTATCAGTTCACTTATGGGTATTCATATTTTCTTTGTGTTTTAAATCTTCAATTATTCATCAATTTTAGTGCTACATATTCCTATTTGGATTATACTTGGTGCATCAAATTAATGAATCAGGAAACTCTTTTTTTGTTGTTTGGGCAGGGGCCTCAGTTTGTTCGGAATCAGATACAACCATTTGATCCATTATTGTTCGTGGGCATCATATTTAAAAAATATATTTTTTGGATTTTGTAAAGTTTGCGGTTAATAAGCCGGTGAGAGCTGATGGTTCAGTTAGATCCTGCATTTACTTGACCTCTTTCTCTGTCAGGTAAATTACCATGGTACCTATCTAATGCGATTTGTAAAGTTTTACCAATCTGGTGAGCATATGAGACTGCAATATTGTGTTCACTCTCAGGATTAAACTGCTTGCTGTGTAATTCGCCTCTTATTATTTCCATGAAATAACAGTAGTTTTCTTGTCTAACTTCATTTCATTTTGTATGCAGGAGGATATTCAATACCAAGATTTATGATTTGGCATAAGTGAGATGACATACAAGTGAGTTTAATTCGTGAGAGTGAAATAGCAACAGTTTAATTATCATACCACCGGCAGCTGCACCTCAACTGCGGAAAAAGAAATCTTGAAGAACCAAGACCACCACCAGCTGGAAGAAGGTAAAAATCCTTTTTTTCTTCTCCCTCCTCATTTGATTTCCATTTCCTCGCAGCTCTAGGTAATTTCGTGACCTACCTCTTGGTAAGTCACCTATCTGCAGAATGCATAGTGTGTGTGTGTGTGTGTGTGTGTGTGTGTGTGTGTGTCAGATATACAGTGAAAAAACACCACAATGCAAGTGTCAGATCCTGTTCTTGGTGCAATTTTGCAACAATGTTCTGGACTGTAAGCAACTGCTTCATGTTAAACTAAAGCTCCAATCAGGCTTGTGGCTCTTTTGTTTACATTATGAGTAGTTGTTCTTATAAGATGTTCGTTATCTAGGTAAAACTTGGGAACATGTATGGATGGACAATACTATATGGATTTGGTCATTTTATTGACTAATTATATAGCGTATGAACTTATAGAGTTTAGAGTTGTTTATCCTGTTCTAATGCTGGAGTTAAAAGTTTCATGTAGCTAATGCTATCATCTTTATAATAGAGCGGCAACATACTCCGTAAGTTTTCACCCTACTCTAGGAAGCCATTTCATCAGTTTTTGGCTTCTGACACACTCGGAGCAACAAATTTTGTGCTGCTAATTGCACTGTCCTCTCTGTTCTCTCTCTTTGCACTTACTTGTGATTTTTGCTTATGTCCGCGTACAGATTTCATCCAGGAAATTTAGTCCTAGGGACTTTGATATACAATGATACACCAAAGCAAGCAAAGAAGCCAAAAGAAGTTAAATGTTTTTACCTGCTGCTGGCATCCGATGAGCAGTTGCAGGTGTCAACCATAGGTAATTCTTGTAAGATACTTTCACATTTCTCTAATTTACTTAAGTAAATCTCCATCAGTTTGGCTTTAGGTGAAAATGCCTGCTTGAGAATTTAGGGAAAATTACATATTACCTTTAGAGCTTTCAGTTCATGAAGTAATTGACCTCGTTTTTGCTTGTTTATTCTGTAGTATTGTTATATGAAGTGAGAGTTGCATGTGCTTATCTGAAGCTTATACTAATAATTTGCCTCCCTAATTGTGGCTGATCTGGAGCTCATACCCATGTTGGGTGAGTATCTCCCTCTCTGTTTGTTGGGCTGTCGGCAGCTCCTTTTTGCTGCGTCTCTGTATACTATAACCACTATCCCTAAAATAAGTAAACTATAACCACACTCTTTGATCATATTATTTAGAAGAAAAAAGATTAGAGATGCATTTATTCATATTAATGTAGACTGTGCCTGATCCAAGAAATAGAAGACTTATACATTGATTGCATCCACCGATAAAATCCCAAATGTGTGTGGGCAAGACTATCTTCGTGTTTTCATAATATAAAAAATAGTAGGTAAGTGTCAATCTGTTGCTGGTTCAGAATTTGATAAGGTTGAAAACTTTGTATGAAAATCTTTGTAATTCTTTTGAGTTGTGGAAGAGACAGCTGGGATGACTTTGATAATATGCATTGGATGGCGGAGGACGAAAAATAAATAAGGTGGGGCGGCTCTGAAGCATAAAAAAATTCCAATGGAAAACGAAAGTAGTTCATGCACACTAAAATGCACACAAATACTTTTTAAAATCATGCTATTGTCCGGTCATTTTCTCAAAATGACACTAAAATTTGAATAATAATTACTTCTCTCCTTTTGCCTTCCATTTTCCCGTCCAGTACATTTTCCTCTTTTTAGTTCATCGGAAAAATTAACACAGCGGCCGCTAAATTTTTTGAGAAGACGAACCATGGAGATTGGAGATGAAGAGCTGATCGCCGCCCCTGTGTACCTATTCTGATTGGAGTTCTTATTACAGTTACATGATCATGTGACAGCATGGCATCGAACAACACGGCCTTCACCTTAATGCACCCCAAAGGTGGTCATCGCCGAAGCACGCCAAGGGTGAGCCATAACCATACCGTTGACCCACCGGCGTGGTGAGGACAAATTGCATAGTATCATGTTTTTCAGTTAAAACCTGAGAACAGAAAGACGTATCTAACACAGTATGTAAAATTTGTAAGCTCATATGAAAATAGCTGAGATCAAATTAGGTAAGCACGTTCTTGCAAGCGATGTATTTTCTTACTTACGAGAATTACCAGTTGCATATATAATATACTGTAGTAGCCTATATTCATGCACTCTCATTTTTGCTGAACAATTCATGATCAATACTAGATTTTTTTAAAGAAGCCACTTCAACTTAGTTTGAGCTCTCATGTTGTCGAATGAATCAACAAATATGTTATCTGTGGCTTTTATAAATTGACACAATGTTTCTGATTTCCAACATAACAAAATTATATGTTTCGTGCAGTAAGGTTTTTTACCCCATTATGTAATCGGCTCAGGTGACAATAGTATCTTCATTGTTCTTCTCATGACCATTTCCAAACTCAGGCTGGCCGATTTACATGAAATTAATTTCCTCAGTTGTGGTGGCAAATATAATACACATAATCCATATTGTTATGCACTAGCGTGTGTGTGTGAAATAGATAGATTATGGTCACGTACCCAATAAGATGGATATGTGTGTGTGTGAGAGAGAGAGAGAGAGAGAGAGAGCGAGAGGAGAGAGGGGAGAGGGGCTGAGAGTGAGGAAGAGGGAGGGAGAGTGTGTGTGTGAGGATTTGATTGTAGAAAAGGTCGCCAATGTCACTTGATATGTATGAGAATGTTAAATGTAATATTAACATAATTAATATTGAACTCTTAAAGTTAATGCGGTCTCGTTGCAACGCACGGGCGTTCTTCTAGTACCGATAGTATCGGAAACTCAGGCCAAAATATCGGGAGAGAGGGAAGACGCGCGCGCCCGTGACGAAGAGGTCGTGCGGACCTGTAGCTAACGTCCAGTCGGCAGGAATATAGCTTTCTTGTTTTTTACTAATGAAGAAAGGAAAATATCAAGTAAACAAAAATAAAAAAAAGGGGAGGAAAAGTAAAAAGAAAAGAAAACCAAAATAAAATAGAAACAAAATGAAAGAAAACTAAGAGAAAAATGAAGCAATGAAAAAACAAAAAATATATAGCCGCAAGATCACAACGGACGAACATCGGGAATGCGTCTAAACAGGGCCAGCCCAATTCACGCCGTTATAGGCATTTAGGCACCTAGGCGTTAAATAGGGATTGCCCTAGGGACAACACCGAAAATACGAAAAACCAAAGCCCATGTCATTCCAAAGGTGCTGAAGAGAGGTGCCATGATGCAAAAGGATAACACCGGAAACATGATGAGGATTTCCACGACTGTATGGGAAGGTGTTTCGTCCATTTGGAGGCCTGAGACCTTGTACAATGCAAGGTGTTTAGAAAAATAAATCAGATTCTTAATTATAGGTGCTTATTTACACAGAGTAGACGCTTAATTAGGCACCTTTCCTGTAGAGACAAGCACCGGTGCTTAAAAAAAACTCGGTTTATTTTACTAAGAGCCTCCCCGGAACACCTTTGCATTGTAAGCACAAGAATGGCTAGGAGAAGTTGGCTGTTGATTTGGGGTTGCCAGTATTGTTTGAGTTGCTTAGTTTTTGATCGAGGACGTTTAATAGCTTTCTATTTTGTTTTGCTATGTCATCCTACTTTATTTGCTTCTGTGTGAGTAATGAACCTATTTACTTCTGCATGAGCTTTTGGATTGGTGGTAGGTTAGCTTGGTGTCGTCGGGTTTTCGGTCTGCATTGGGTGTTTCGATGACGAGCACCTCCAATGGGTTTTTCAACAATTCGTTGGGCTCACTTTCCCCTTTCTCGTCTCCTCTACTCTTTCTGATTCAGCGGTTCCATTTTTGTTATTCAGTTAATGGAAAATGGTTAGGCTCTATTAAAATATTTCCTCCCGATGGTGGGTCTAGCGCGCATATTTTTTTCTTGGTTGTTTACATTTTCTTTTGTGAAATCCATCATTGGCTAAACAATCATTCATTTATGCTATTGCGGGCTTTACTCCCACTATAGCTATTGTACAGTTGGCCCCAATAATGACTTTTATGATCTCGTTTGTTTTTTATCACCTAAAAAGTCATGGGATCAAGAAAGAAATGTGAAAATGTAGTTATAAATGTGAAAAGCCAATACGTCAATGCCTTGTCCCATGAATTAGGCATCCTTTCTGATGGATGAATGAGGAGACTTCATCGAGTTTTTCCGTACCATGACTAGAATCCAGGGCCTAACCTTTTGGTTTTCTTTTTTTTTTTGCTTTTTTTTTCTTTTCCTGCCAATATTATTTTGATATGTGTAAATCTATTATATATTGCTTTCATGCATGAATGTTACTTTTCTTATGATAAATGTATTTAGTAAAAACATTAAAAAAATCCCGTGATACATAACATTTATTTGGAAATAGAGAAATATGTTTCTTTATTCCACAACATGTTGTTTGAAATATATAAGCAATTATTTTTCTCATACATGCATGTGGTTCTTCTAATACGGGAACAATTCTTTCCAAAATAGTAACATTATTTGTTATACCGAAAAGTTTCTTATACCAATGCATACATTTTCCAATTTGAAAATTGGTTTACAAATTAGTATGCAAAGTATAAATTTGATATCTATGAAGGGAAGAAAATATATGTTACTTAATGGCGGGCCGCATTAATTGCGGTCCATGAAGAACGCGTGTAGGTGTCAATGTCCCGATGCCGCAAGCGCGACTACTATTTATCGCCTTAAGCGATAGACTATCGGTGAAGCTTTTTCCTCCCCCGCCTCATATTGGGCCGGCCCATTCATGTGTGCGCAGTGTAAAAAGAACAAAGAAATGTGCGAGAAACAGGGGTCGAACCGAGGTCTCCATGGCAATCTCGCTCGTTTGGTTGCGAGAGATTCATCCTCCCGGGAACCCCACTCTTTCCCTGGGCAGCTGCCACCCGTCGATGCCCTCCCTGGGGCTGCGTGGCTGTTCATTTGGTCAACCCGGCCCCATACCTGTTAGGGCATGTCCAATGCCTGGCCGCTTGCACGAGCGCTTAGGAAAATAAAAGAAAAGTTAAATCTCACGTAGCAGCGGCTGTAGCATCCAATCCTCCAACGCTAATGACAAGGCTACGCGCTTAATATGGCACACTTCGAGTCCTAGCGTAGAAGGAAAAGAGGTCTAGCGCCCGGCGCGAGAAGTTGCGTCGACGCAAGCGTGAATCCTGGGCTTAGCTGGGAACAGAAAAAAAGGGCTGGGATTTGGGGCATAACGGCTGGGGATTTGACCCTAGCGCCCGGGCTAAGCGCCTCCATTGTAGGTGCCCTTAGACCCCTGGGCTAAATAAAAACCACCCCTAACCCATGGAAGATTTCCCCGTCGCTCGTTGAAACTCTGGGGGCACCGCCGCTGTTCTGGACGAGCACATCCCATCGCCGCCACTATGCAACACCTGCTCACCCCACCCACTCCGGCCTGTCCTCTCGCCCCACCTTCCTCGCGAGCTTGAGCCCTGGAAGAACAAAATTCCTCGGGAGAGCATACACGTGTGTGCTCAGCCATGGCTGGCTCCGATACAACCACAATTTTGTTGGAATCAACAGATTTGTGACCAGACTGTGTGAGTTCCTCATCTACTACTTGGTGAAACTAAATTAAGAATTCACCCTCTTCCCTGCAGCCCGCGGCTGGAGGAGCTGATTTGGCCGAGGTTGAAGATGAATCTCGCTAGCTCGCTGGATGCGAGGAGAGTCTTGTTTTTTTTTTTTGCTATTCTCTCTTTTCTTCGCAGAGGCCAGAGAACCTCATCCCCTGAGGTGCCAAATGGTGATGTGATTATACCCCGTGGATTCCAATGTGTAAAGGAAATTATGGCCGTGCTTTTTGTACCCTAGAATTTCTCTCACTCGTAACCAAACATAGCCTTTGTGATAAGAACTAGCGGCACATTCTACTTGGGGCTACAGCCATTTTCTTCAGGGTTTATTCTTCTTTTGTTTTTTGTTTTTGTCTTTGACAGTTTTTTTTCCCTTTTTTTGTTTGGTTTTCTTTTCTTCTTTTCCATTTTTTGTTTGGTTTTCTTTTTCTTCTCCATTTTTGTTTGGTTTTCTTTTTTCTTCTCCATTTTGTATTTTTTTTGTTTTTTCTTATGTTCGTTTTTGCTTTCACTCTATATTTTTTGTATATATTAAAATAGTTTTTTTAATAAGTGATCAGCATTTTATGTATACATGTTCAACATTGTCCGAACACTTATTCAACATTTTTTAAATACTTGTTCAACATTTTAATACTTATTAAGTATTTTTAAAATACTTGTTCAACATTTCAAATACTCGTTCAACAATTTTTAGATAATTTTGAAATTTTTTAATACTTATTCAACATTTTTTAAATGATTTTTCAACATTGTATTCACAAATGCTTCATTAAAATTTTTATATACATGATCAAAAAGATTCATCATTTCTTTAATACATGGTCAACATTCTTTCTATACACATTTAACATTTCTTAAATGCTTGCTTAACATTTTAAATTACTTGTTCAACATTCTTTCAAATGGTTGATTAACATTTTTATATACATGATCAATAGAATTCACCTGTTTTTACTACATGGTCAACATTTGTCAAATGCTTGATTAAAAAATTTCAAATGCGTGTTCAAATTGTTTTTTCAAATACTTGATTAACATTTTTATATACATGATCAATAGAATTCATCTGTTTTTACTACATGGTCAACATTTTTAAAATGCTTGATTAAATTTTTTCAAATGCTTGTTCAATTTATTTTTTCAAATGCTTGATTAACATTTTTATATACATGATCAATATTCTTTGAAATACCTGTTGAACATTTTTCAAATAGTTGATCAACATTTTTCAAATATTTGTTCAATATTTTTCAAATACTTGTTCAACATTTTTAAATACTTGTTCAACATGTTTCAAAATTTTTTTAGAGTGCTTTTGTAATACATATATATATATATATATATAATGTATTGAATTAAAAAAAGCAAAAAAACGAAATCAAAAAACGTAAAAAAAAGAGGAAAACGAGGCTGTGGCCTCTCTCGCGCCTGGGCCGGCACAATTTGTCCTCCCAGAAAGCGAGAAACAGGGGCGCCCATGCAAGCACCCCATTCGGCCTGCGGATTGAAATCCTCTTAGCTCTAGGCCTATTCCCGGCCCATGGCCATCGATTCGCTGACACGACGCTCGCGGACAGCAGCCACCGCTCGAATCTCCGCGCCGGCCACGGAAGTTCCACCCCACCATCACCATGGCTCAGTCTCCAGGCCGCGCCGCCTCCGCCGTGCGGCTCTTCGATGCGCACTGCCACCTGCAGGACCCCCGCATCGCGGCGGCCGCCCCCTCCCTCATACGCGCCGCCACAGCCTCCGGCGTCGGCCGGTTCGCGGTCAACGGCACCTCCGAGGTACGCCCCGCCCCTGCCTCGTGCTTGAACGCGAGCGACCGCTCCTCCATGACTCCTTGTCTACTGGACGAGCGCAGAAAGACTGGCACCTGGTGAAGCAGATGGCCCAGGAGCACCCGGCTGTCATCCCCTGCTTCGGCCTCCACCCATGGCAAGATTCCTTGGCCGCTTCTCGCGGTGTGCTGCTGCTTATGCTATCCGGATTTTAAAACCGTGAATTTGGTAGGTGGGTGCCGGAGAGGTCGCCCGATTGGATGGATTCGCTCCGGCAGTTCTTCTCGGAGACCCCAGAGGCGGCTGTTGGAGAGGTGGGCAGGGCTGTACTTGTCAATTTGTTACTTACTCTTCTAGGTTACTTACTCTAGAGAGTCAAAAACGCTCTTATGTTATGGGACGGAGAGAGTACTAGCAAAGTAGCCAGCAATAAAACTGCGGTAATATGTACTGTAATAGACTGGACTGCTACAAAGTGCAAACCAAGGCTTACCTACAAGCATTAGTTCTCCAATATGATGTAAATTATGATCATCTTGTTTTGCAACTCATTAAATTTATCAGGCAATAGGGTATATTTATCTGTCGCCTCTGCTTACTGTAACAGTGTAACTCTATAGCCGAGATGACTGTTTCTGAATTTAACCTAATAGACTGCCCTAGTTTGGCAGCATAGTTTTTGCAAAACCGTAGTTCTAAACACCGCAGTTTTTCTCACTTCGGTTTACAAAAAAGAGGTCGAAACCTCTTTCTGAAATACTGCAAAAAAACACCGTATTCGGGATACTACGGTTTATAAAACTGTGGTATTTATCAATGCCGAACAAATCAAAATTTTCAAAACCATGGTCTCACAGTATTCACCAAATAGTCCAAAAAAGAAAAACTGAGCTGCCAAACACAGCCAATTTATTCTTCTGTTTCCTTTTGGCATGTGCAATACGAGACTTGTGCAATTATATATTCTCATATGTCGCTATTTGTTTCTAGAATATTCTCATATGTCACTATTATGCAGACTGGTCTGGACAAGGGATCGCATGGAAAAACTATTGACTTCGGAGAACAGGTTTGTTAGCACGGGCCCCTCTGCACTTCTTGTTGAATATGATTTTTTTTACCAATGGATTCAGCTACATGATAATGGATATAACCATTTAGCTTTGTCACTGTAGCTTTAATTGTACCCCTTTACCTTTTACCATAAGCATAACAATGTTAACACAGGTTGAAGTATTCCAACGACAACTTGAACTTGCTAAGGAATTGGAGAAACCTGTTTCTGTTCATTGTGTACGTGCCTTCGGCGATCTTCTGGAAATACTAAAGTAAGGAAAGGATGTTTGGTCTTTATCATCTTTTTAGTTCTTGTCAGTATCTAGTTCAATATGACAGGTAGTGATAGGTTGTTTGTCCAGGTTCTTAGTAAGGTTTGCAGTTAGGGTTTTTTCATCACAATTCCAAAACAGAATATATTGCTCTTCCTAGATATATATGTCATACTGAAGAGCAGGTTCCATACTTCTAGTCTAGTATGGATGTCCTGTAGTTTCTCATCTCTTTGTCTACAAATAAATGTTATGCTGTGTTAACATTTTGGCTGCCTGCAGGCATACTGGGCCTTTCCCAGCAGGTGTGCTGTTGCATTCTTATCTGGGGTCTGCAGAAATGGTGCCTGGCCTTGCAAATTTAGGTTGTTACTTTTCGTTGTCTGGTTTCCTTACAGGCATGAAATCGAGTAAGGCAAAGAAAATGCTCAAAGCAGTAAGTCGGTCATGCCTGTATTTTTCCCTGGGAGTAGTTATGGATTCAACTATGGAAAATCAAACGTTTTTTATGGCAATTTATGTTTGCCGATGGTGGCAAGTTTAGTTGGCAAGCATGGCAAATCCGCCTCAGTTCATTTTTCCCCCCAGGAAAGTGCCGTGCTTGCAAACTAAATTTGCCATCCTCGCCCCAACATAAATTGCATAAAAACGTTTGATTTGCCATGGTTAAAAATCTGACGTCAGATTTTTAACATTACCGTAAATCTCTTTGGCACCACCAATGAAATGCATTTGTATTTGTTCTAGATACCCTTGGACAGAATTCTACTAGAGACAGATGCGCCAGATGCAGTACCAAAGTTGGACAATGTTTCTCTAGTCACAGTCCCTGTGGACACTTCAGATGCAGATGCTGAAAAGTCTCACAGCGATTCGACCTCTCAGGCGGCCATGCCTTCAAAAGAATCCTTGAACCATCCAGCTAACATCCACATTGTAAGATTTGTGTTCTGACACCTTTGCCTGATACTCCCTCCGTAAAGAAATATAAGAGCGTTTAGATCACTACTCTAGTGATTTAAATGCTCTTATATTTCTTCACAGAGGGAGTACTTTTGTTAGCAAATCTTCATGGTACATGTTGCACGAGCTCCTTGCTACATCTCTTATTTTAAACAGTGTCCTAATAATGAAAATATTCTTGTGCATACTACGATGTATACGAAGGCCTAAACCTTTCTAGGATAGACACAATATTTTCTCTCAATACTCCATTAACATTACTGTACTGACTAGCATACTGCGATGTATACGAAGACCTAAACCTTTCTAGGGATAGACACAATATTTTCTCTGAATACTCCACTATTTCAACATTACTGTGCCCTGTTCAGTACGATGCCATTTCTGTGCTTACTGTTTTCAAAGTGTACCCTGCTGTTTCCAAACCATCCATCTGAAGTATTGTTTAATTGATCCACTCCTAGCTCACTGGCACGATTGTCACTACTCCATCTGTCCAACAATGACTTGTTTACTTGACAAGCTCTCGTTCTCACACAAAATGATGATGGATTAAGGAAATTATCATTCTGGTATAAACCGTGCCTTTCCATGTTCCTTTCAGGTTTTGAAGTATGTGGCATCCCTGCTTGAAATGCCGGAAGCAGAACTCGCCGAGGCGAGCTACAGGAACGCCACCAAACTGTTCTCCTACCCTGGATCCAAAGTTCATCCCGAAGCTGAAACTGCGTGAATGGGGTGGTGCGGATGGCCACCCAATACGAACCATGCTATCGGAAACCTGGTGCGTTCTGCCTCTGGATGTTCCCTGTATACCGCATGTATATTGTTGTACTATGTATATATAATCGGCCCAAGACAAGGTAGCAATCAGAGATGAAATAAGAAAGCGGCTCATGGCTGGCCGTGCCATGTTGCCAAATTCCCCTTACAATATTACTCTACTCCCTCCGTTCACTATTACAAGATGTCAATATGGACTACATACTGATTGAAATAAGTCAACAAGCACACTAAAACATACTCCGTCCGTCCCTTAGCTTGAAAAATGATCTTATTCGTGGGATGCAGGGAGCATATATATACATCCGAATCAGAAAAAATGTTAGAGTAGAACATCTTGTAATTCAGAACTACTAGTTCTTACATTGAACTATGTACTGTCCTATCAGAAAGGAGGCTCCGATCGCATCCGCGTGCCCTGTCAAGTAACCTGGGAATCTCTCATCACACGTACTATCAGAGCATTGTGCGCGGTGACTGGACTCAAACCGAACGCGCAATCTGCTAAAACTAGTAGGATGACAAGATAACAAAAGTTTACTTCGATCCTCATACGATAGGCCTAGTAGGCTCACCAGTTCCAGTTCCAATACCTTAGACCTCTCCCAATGCAATGGTGCTTAGATGATGTGCTAAGTGCATTAAATACCTTAGCAACTCAACTCCCCAATGCATAGGTGCTTAACTTGTTGTTGCTAAACACATTTTATTTAATGAGTTAACACCTAAAGTCTTTCATGTATTGGTCAAATTGTTTCATTTAAGTGGTTTGCCTAGGTTCTCGCGCTTGGCATTGGTTCTTCCTGGGATCACCAAAGTGCTCTCTCCCCTCTTTAAATGATGTGGCATGTCATTTTTCCGCTTATGTGGCATGCTTAGCATCTGTCCACGGTGGAGCACTGGGAAGGGCCTAAATCCTTATCGTTAACCGCATCACCCACCTAAGATAACACCCGTTGTAAACCAGCGAAAGATCTTTTTTGCCTGCCGAGTGGAACCCGTCGCTATCCGGCAAGAGGGGGGCGAGCATTCCCTGGGCCCCGCGCGCGCGTAGTGCGCGTCCACCTCCCGATCCGACCGCTGATCGAGACCGATCCGACGGAGCGGAGTGTGGCGGCGTAGGATTCGGCACACGCACACTCCCGCTCGCTAGCTCGCTTTAGACTTTCGGCGCCGCGTGAAGGAACAAAATCGTTTGCGCGTGAACGGATCAGAAAGTCGCCACTTGATCGGCCGTCAGCATCGGGAAGAACGTCGGAAAACGTTTGGGCGCGAGCAAGAACACTGCAAAGTAACGAAGAAACCCAAGCAGTAGTAGTGATCCTGGACGGCTGGACATAGAAACAAAAGGTGAACATATGTAGTATGGCTGTGTACATCTGGTCTGATCTCATCTGATCCCGGAGCGAGCAAGAAGCAGCAGAGCAAACTAATTAGACAGGCGCGTACGTGTCGAAAGAAGAGAAGCTACTGCATGCGCACGGAAGAATGGTATTCGGCAGGTGAAGCAACTGCAAGCTACGTACAAGTAAGCAGGTCGCTAAGCGGCTGCGTGTGCGCCCGGCGCCGGAGGCTCCGGCGCGTCGACCGGGCGGCGGCGGCCGCAGCGGCACGGGCCGGAGGCGAAGAGGGAGAGCCAGGCGAGGACGGGGGTGCCGAGGAGGACCAGCCCCGCGGGCACCATCCACAGCCGCGCGTGCGCCGGGTGGAACGCCAGCGCCCACCACACCAGCAGCGCCGCGCCGCCCAGGCCCACCGCCACCAGGCTCGCCGCCGTGGCGGCCACGGACGAGAACGACGACGACGACGACGCCACCTTCGCCGCGGCCCCTGGCTTCGGAGGCCCCGCACCCGCCTCCATGGAAGGCTACGTACGCGCCTGGCACCGCCCGGCCGTCGTCAACAGACCGAGTCCAAGTGTTGCGCGCATATATACCCGCGTGGGCGCGTGGCGTGGCGTGGCGTGGCCGGAAGCTGCACCGGCGGCGCTGCGCAGAACAGTCCCGTAAAAAACGTGCGCTACCAGTCTCTACTCTCTACTGCTTCGCACTTATGCACCTCTGTACACCGCACGTACGCCGGTATATATTACCGTCCGTCGGTCGCTCCGAATGGTTCCTTTCGACAACAGCGATCTACTTTCCGGCCTTCACAAAGGAGCCAAAGGCAAACAGCGGAGAGAAGGAAAAAGAAAAGAAAATTGCCGCGCGTCAAAGTCACCGTCCTCCGTCACGTTCTACACGTTTGCAGACGTGCAGCAAGTGTTGCGCCGGGGAGGAGATATTCCGCGATGCGGTGCATGCACGCCGATCTCCTCGTTCATCCGTATCGACGCTGGAACAAGGCGCGGACGTTGACGGGCCACGCATCGGCGGCGCCGCCGTCGACGATCCTGCCGGCGACGATGAAGTTGACGGCCTCGGTCGGGTGGAACGCGTCCCAGAACACGTACTTGGAGCGGTCCTCGCACAGGGTGGCGGAGCTCGAGTTGGCGACGCCCATGCAGAGGAACGGCGGGAAGCTGCCGCCGCAGCAAGGGTCCAGCGCCTCCTCGAAACCTACGACACAGATCCAACTCTCAGTCCACGAAATGCGAACCTGCCTGCAGCACGCAAGAAAGAAAATCCTGCTACCGTATTGACGGTGCTGCCGGATGATCTCCATGACGATGCCGTGGGTGTTGGTGTAGACGAACGCGCTCTCCGGGCCCGTCTCCTGGTTCAGCCTGCCGATCATCCTCTTCAGCCTCCTGTTGTAGCCTTCGCAGAGCCTGTTCACAGCCGCCGAACACTCGCCCGCAGGGATGAACTCCAGGGCGCGCACGTACGGTATGCAGCCCAGCGGGCCGACGTCGGCGATGACAAATTTCCTAGCCCCGAGCTCGTTCAGCCGCTTCGTTTTGGAAGCGAATTGCAAGATGGTGAGCTCAGAACGGGAGCAAAGCAGAGAAAATTACAGTGCTGGTGACTAGCGAGTTAGAGGTGATCGAGTGGCACCTTGAGATGAAATGCCAACTTGGCAACCAAGGCGTCCTGGAAAACTGCAGGGTCAGGTTTCTGTCGTCCCAAGAATGGCACTGCAGGTGAGAGGTACTCCAGGATGTCATTGGATCCAGCAGCCACCGTGAAGAGCGCGTTCCCCAAGAAGTCGGCCGTGGCATTCTCCCCCATGGTCTCCAGTACCTGAGCTCTGGTCTTCTCAAAGTAGCTGATTTGCTGTCCTAGTGGCACCCTTCCGATCTGCCAACCCAACCACATTTTCACACAATTGCAATTCAGACAGACAGACAGAAATCAAGCCAAGGGAAGTATACAAGTTGAACAGAAAAATCACTTACATAGAAGGAACCGGTCTCGTCGAAAATGCCGGAAGAACCAGAAGCATAGTTGGCTCCACTGTTGATCACTTCAGCACTAGAGTTTGGGGCCAAGTAGGGAGGAGCAAAGCTCTCCTGCCCCAAGGCTTCACCTGAGGGAATAGCACCAAGACATTTTCGTCAGATAAAACATGGACAGTCTAAACAAAGTTTCTCATGAAAACTCATACTTGCTACTATTACCAATGACATCCGCAATGGTCCTGCCGTTTGTGAATCTCCCGGTCGGCTTGCCGCCAGAAAACGAGAAGTCGACGCCGTATGGCGGGGTGTTGGCCTTGGAGAGGGTCACGAGATAGTCGTTGTTCCCCGCGTCGACGAGGGAGTCGCCGAAGATGAAGAAAGCATGAGGCGATGCCGGAGATGGGCGAAACAGGAGCAAGATCACTGCTGTGAAGAGGGAGGGGCAGCAGCGGGGAGGGAGCACGGCCATCCTATGCTGAATCGTGGAACGTCTCTAGGTAGGACTGCATATATCCAATTCTCGTACGCTGGGCGCACTGCCATGCTGCATGCTTATGGTGCCTGCTGCATCGTATCCGTAGTACCGTTTGACAAGGTCATTGTCTGACTGCTTCAAGAGGAGATTGAACTGTCCCAACTGAATCTGGATGAGAAGATTGGGCGCGGTACAGGCGAGCTGTCAGACATGCTAATTGCTGCTATCTTGTTCCCGCTAACGGGGGAATGCATCTGTCTTACAAAATAATAATAAGTTTCCACAGCTGCACTGACAATAGAGAATGGCAGATGCATCCGTACTAAGGCAAATGCATTTATAAAGCCATTCACTGGCAATACCGAATGCATCCCCTTGGAAAAATGGAATATATACTGCCATTTGCTGATAACGTTCCACAATGACTTATCATAAAATTTGTATAAGAACAGTGCAGGGATCACTAGCTTTTTAGGTACATAATCTAGTCGAAGTTCACTGTGACTACTCGTTCACTTATATAGGAACCACATGATGCAATCTTTCACACGTTGTCGTCAGTTAACGATTATAATGTACACTGAAATCTGCAGTACCTACAAACTATAATTGGCTTGGCTAACCGTTTCTACTCACACAAACTAGAGGAACGGCCAATCAATCAACTAAACAAAAAAAGAAGCAAAAATAACTCCATTACCATTACATACAATCCCATACTATCTCGCTATCATATCATACCCAAGCTTGTCTTGCTTCTCTGGGAGCATCAAACACAGCCACGTCTGGGGCCTTCCTCATGGACCTACTCAACTGAAACACGGGGTGCCTGCACAGCCTCTCCACACCTTTCCTGAAACTAAATCTGTCGAACAAGCCCTCCGCGTTTCTGCTACCAAATTCTTTTCCGGAACTGTTCACTCGGCTATTCGGATCGTTGTGACGTGGAGGAACTCCACTGTGGCACTTATTGTGGTCCATATCACACTTCTTCTCTTGTTCTTCGAAATCATTTTTGGAGTTATGGAGGACTTGTTGAGCCTCAGATAGGAACTGTTCGGAAATAGCCTTATCAATCATCGGGTGATCGACCCTCTCCTGAGTTGAACAAGTGAACGGTTTCGCCAAATGCTCC